CACACACACACACCACACATACACACACACACAAATAATAATAATAATATATACATACATAACACACGCGCTTGAGCGCGTGTACACTCATTCACACGCTAACAAGAGTTTACTGCGCAATCATTATATTCCGCGCATAAGCATTTAAAAACTCACTCACCCAGCACCCAAGGAAAACCTACAAACACATTTAATACATACTGCATCTCCTAAAAATATAAAAACACACTGCGTTCGTAACATAAGCATAACGAAATTCGTAAATGGTGCTCTAACTTATTTTTAAAAACCCAGATGATTTGTTAAACTAGAAAATTATTAGAAAAGTAATAATGATCAATGAGTAGTGTTAGCAGTGTTAGAAAAAACATAAATAATATTAAATGAGTAGGTTAAGAAAAGATAACAAACTCTGAATGAAGGATAGAAAAAAAGTTAATAATAATTAATGAGTGGGGTAAAAAACGACAACATTAGTTAGTAGGGTTTAAAGAATTATTATAATAAATCAATTAGTAGATGAAGGAAATAATGATAAAGTTAAGCTGGAAACCCTAGCGTCCAACTGCAAATTACTTATATACCAGTACAAAACAGAAACCGTTCTGCGTCTAAAGCAATGAATGCAAAAACCAGAGAGATGATTAATAAATGAAATGTGTTCCCAAGGCAAATCCTTCTTCACCTTGCCTTAACAGACTCACGATATTTTTGGTAACCTAAGCCTATCTTTACCCGGGGGGCGAGATCGTGTTTTCTTCGGGGGAGAGTTAGAACGATAGATCAAAGCTCTTTCACTGATGGTCAGTCTCATTCCGGCCGGACATGACAGCGAATACTTGCTCACTTCATCCCATAATGCATCATCCGTGACCGCGATAGCCGCTGGTCATTCGGACTTGTTCCTTTTTCTGCATAATGGCCTTCCTACCAACGGCGTGATGGTGACCGTGTCGGAAATTAATTAACGTTGAACAGTAGAAGTCACAAGATTTGAATGGGATAGAAAATAGTGGAGTTTAAGATACTGTGAATTGTATTCTAAGGAGGGGTGCACCGGAAAAATACGCTACTAATATGAATCGAATAACCTTTCCATCGACAATGAAATGAACAAACAAAAGCAAATAGACTCGCCGAAACCACCTCACAATTAGAATAAAACAGACGGGAGGGGCTAATAACAGAAAAAAGAAATGTTCTTTTAGATCTGCTCAAAGGATGCCGTCGTTAATGAGAAGGAGAGGCGGGAGCGAGGGAGGAAGAGAGAGGAATGTAAGGAGTGAGAGAAGGAGTGAGTGTGGGTGTGTGTCTATGAGTGTGCGGGCGCGTGTGTGCGTGTGTGTGTGCGTGTGTGTGTGTGTGTGTGTGTGTGTGTGTGTGTGTGTGTGTGTGTGTGTGTGTGTGTGTCTGCGTGCGTGTGCATTTGTTTTTCTGTGAGTATATTGAGACGATTGAGACACATATAACAAAAAATATGAACTCCATTTGTCACCAAACTACTTGGTGCACAGACAGACGAACATGACACTGATAGTACTTGTCTGAAATTTCGGAAGGATAAAAGGTAACACTAAATAAGACGTGATAGAGTGGTGGAGACCAGACCATCAATGATTTATTTATAGAGGCACCAGCCATCCATGTCCAGGTGCTGTTTTAGCCAAAATTGTAGGAGAGTGGTGGAGAACACAGAAAAGAAAGTACCTCCCCCCCCCCCCCCTCCTAACCGTACCCCGAACTACTGTCCTTCCCTTCTCCGTTTTTCCAGTGCAAGTTCCCAGCTCTTGCAATTTAGTTTAGTTTTAGTGAACGCTTTACGGTTTTACGGCACTTGCACCACACATAGTTATATCTATAGATGCCGAAGATTAGAGGTATTACACGGAAGTAACGAACAAAGTAAAGAGAGAGGAGAGATAAGGACAATAGATACGTGAGAGGAAAGATGGAGCAAACCACACAAGAGCAGCGGCTAACCTTTCTAAGTCCGAAATTATCATTATGATATTATCAAGGCACTGCAACAGGTTTTCACATGTCTGTGTCTTTTAGGGGTTGCATTTGCGAGTTATGGGTTTTTAATCCCTCAAACATTTCTCCACCACGTTGAAAGCGCAACATTACACGAACGACTAATTCCCCGTGACCAGCTTCGCGCCCCACCCCTGAAACAGGTCCGCGCCGACCACCCCGCCACACGACGCCAGTCATCCAACCAGTCGTGTCTTCCGGGACTTCGAGAAAAAAAACATGGCCGCCAAACCTCGTGACTGCCGATTCAGCCAATCCCAGAGCTCACCCGCGGAACGTTATAAAACGGTTGGCAGGTCGACTGAAGCTATAGAGTCTGGGCTGTTGCCACCCCGTACTATTCACAGCGCCGACCGACTCCTGTACGCAAGGACAAGATGGCCGGTTGGTTAGTACAAGCACTTGGCGTGCTCGCTCTCTCGGTGGCATCCGCACACAGTTTGGGTGAGTATAGATAGATACAGCCAAGGAGGGAAGGGAAGTGGGTAGAGACCCATAACCGATGACGTCAGTTTCAGACCTGGCGGTTAAAGAAAAAACAAACAAAACTATTACAATAACGATAAAAAATAATAACGATGAAAGATTGCATCTGAAGAGTAGAGACCGCCGAGGACGGAAGGGAAGGGGAGGGAAATGAGTGGCGAACTATGAGGGAAGGGGAGGGAAATGAGTGGCGAACTATGAGGGAAGGGGAGGGAAATGAGTGGCGAACTATGAGGGAAGGGGAGGGAAATGAGTGACGAACTATGAGTGTTGATGTCAGTTTCAGACCTTGCAGTAGAAGAAGAAATACAATAATATTGCAATAACGATAAAAGATAGCACCTGAAAAGCTTAGATACAGCCAAGGCGGGAAGGGAAGGGAAGTGAATGGCGAACCATGATCGTCGATGAAAGTCTCAGATCTGGGGGCTGAAGAGGAAAAACGATGATACTGTAACAATAAAGATAAAAGATTGCATTTGGAGAACATAGACACAGCCGACGAGAGAAGTGAGTGACGAACCATTGCAGCTGAAGAAGTAATACAACAATAAATTAATACTTACTTTACTTTTACTTACTTTTACTTTTTCATCCTCTGCTGCCGTTAAGCGTCGAGGGGAGATGCAGTTTTCTATGGTAGGCCAGCTCCGCAGCTCTTTCAGTTGTGATGTTATGTTTTCTGAGGGTTTCCTTGACACCCTCGATCCACCTTTTGCGTGGCCTTCCTCTTCCTTTATAGCCTGAGTGCTTGGAGTTGTTGGCTCTCAAGGCTGGCTGGTCAGGTGACATGCGTAACAGGTGGCCAAACCATTTTATCCTCTGTCTTTCTATGTAACGCAGGCAGGACTCAGTGCCGATAGCTGCCCTTACTTCTTCATTTCTCTGCCTGTCTCGTCTTGTGATGTCAAGGAGTTTGCGGAGACATTTCATTTCGCATGCGGTGATTTTGCTTTCATGGGTTTTGCTTAAGGTCCAGGTCTGGCACTGATAACATAATGTTGGTATGAATATTGAAGTGATAAGCTGTCTCTTTGTTTGGATGAGATAGGAGGGGTGTGAGCTGGTAGGTGACAGCGTTGGCGTTTTGAGTTCGCATTTCTATTTCTCTGTCTCTGACATTATCTAACAATTGTCCTCTGACGCCATACTTTTCGAGTGTCTTCCTGAGTTTTGCATGGTTTACTCTGTCAAAAGCCTTCTCTTGGTCTCTAAAGACGACAAATTAATAATAATGATAAAATATTGCATCTGAAGGATCCAATGGAAGCCTGATTATTTAAGAGTCACATTTTGAGGTATTGAAAAAAAAATCAAATCAATTTTTAAGCATAACCCACTTCATTTGGATCGGTGTTACTTTTTACCCTCTAGTTAAAAGAAGTTTGTAACTCAGAACTGAGCCCACCAGTACCTGTGGTGTAGCGGTTAAGGATTATGTCGTTGCACACAAGGAACCCTACTTCGAACTCCGAGTACGTAGGGGAGATTTTTTAAATTGAGTTTCTAGGTCGTTTCATTTTAATGCTGTTTTTTTCTCAACTCGGGTTGGCCCCGACAGGCAGGGTCGAAGCCCGCCTCTTAAATAGTTTAGATTGTGTTGATGGGGAAGGAGAAATACCTATATATTTTTAGTTTTTTTTAGGGGGTGGATATCGTAAAATAACAAAACACACTGCACTTCAATTGCTGTTCTATTGCACCCTGTCGTAAAAAGAGTATTTAACTCAAGACTGAACCCTTTGTTCAACCGGGAGATTTAATTAACACATTGTGGTTCGCGCATTCTGCTCATTCGACAAGGACACATTGTAGAAGAAGCATTAATTCATTATTCATGCGGATGGTTTCAATTTTGTCTCGTCTATTTAAAAACTTAGAACCAAGGGAACAGTATTATGCAATAAAATAAGTATACCAATTAGTGTTTCTGCATTGTTTCTGGTGGTTTTCGAAATATCCCCCAACTTCGTCCTTTTGTTTGCTGCTGGTCGGACTTGAGTGTCTTCTACGTCCCTAAAGTGTTGGAAAATTCAATTATGGAAATGACTCTAGTGATGTTTCCGGCTTAAGATTCCCGTTCTGGGTGTTTCACCTGGATCTTGTGCATTTGGCATAGGGGACACAGTTTAATGAGGACTCTTGTAGTGACGTAAATAATAAAATAAGTACTTTCAAATTCGGGATTTAAGTCGTTTTTGCACTCTGGTTTTCATCTATATTATAGTAGTCACTCGTGGTATATATCGCAGCTAGAAAGTAAGATGTGTGCGCCTTTCTATTTGTTCTTGTCTTCGCCGTTACAGACTTTTTGATATTTTTTTCTCGGTGTATTGAAGACATTTCAATTATACAGGCCGTGTTAACAAATTATACAATTGTGTTTTCAATTTGAAAAAAAATGTGGCGTCGGCGGCTTAGTGGTTAGGCTACCAGACCCGTAATCGTGAGATTGCGGGTTCGGGGGTTCGAGTCTCAGCACGGTCCAACGTTGTGTCCTTGGGAAAGGTGTTTTACGCGAATTTTCCATTTGGCTCAGTCCTTTTGGAGATTGACGTTAAACTCTAATAGTGTTGATAGGGGCGTTAAACCTATACCATTTCATTTCATTTGAAACCCCCCCCCCCCCACAAATATAAAAACAAAACTGCAATGGCACATGTGAAGAGAAAGGACACAATGATATACATCTAATTGAGTTTCCTACGATTTTAATACTTTTAAAAATGTTTTATTTAATTGGTTTTCCATGTTTTACGCCCCCATCAGCGCAATAGACCATTTAAGAAGCGGGATTCGACTTAAGATGAGAAGGATAAGACAACATCTAGGCAAAAAAGACTGTGATACTCGATTAAAAAAACCCCATCCCCACACGACAATCGAACTCGGGAACACCACTATTTGGTGTTTGATTGTGTGAACTAACCATGATTCCGCTCTTGTCGCCGACAAAAATAATGGAATGCCTGAGACAAGGAAATATCCTCTTTTTGACGTTTCTCGAAAAAGAAAATGTTCGTGAGAAAGAGAAAAAGAGGAGGACGGGTGTTATTTCAGTGCTTCCGCCAAGAAATGGTTGTTAGAAAAACAAAACTTTTTATATTCCTTTAAGAGCTCGGAATTTTCTCTATCTGCTGGGTTCAGGAAATTGCCCAAGTTCACCCGAGAGATCTTATCGCTTTGTGCGTGTTTAAGCATTTAATTTTAATCGGCTGCTTACACTGTATGTTTCCTAGAAAGCCATCAGTGTTTCGGAGTGTTCCAGGGTCTGCTGGGATAATGATTGTAAAAGGCATAGAGCCTGATGTTTAGCTGGGATATGTGGTATACGCCCTCTTCTTCTTTTTCTTCTTCTTCTTCTTCTTCTTCTTTTTCTTCTTCTTCTTCTTCTTCTTCTTCTTCTTCTTCTTCTTCTTCTTCTTCTTCTTCTTCTTCTTCTTCTTCTTCTTCTTCTTCTTCTTCTTCTTCTTCTTCTTCTTCTTCTAAACTGTTTCGTTTGGGCCCCTTCCTTATCTCTCCTCCTTTTTGTTGTTTTACTCTTTTACTCTCTTGTAACAGATCTCATCTTTGGCACTTATACGACCATATCGTGTTGCAAAGTGCCGTAAGACTCTGACTAAAAACTAAAATGATAAAATCAGCTCAAAACCACGTTGTTTCCTTCTCTCTCGACAGGACTTATGCCCCCTATGTCGCCGATCATGCCTCTCGGAAAAGGGTTCGGAAAGATGGGCTTCGGCATGGGGAAAGTCGGTTTCCCAATCCCAGGCATGGGAATTGGCGGAGGCATGTTCCCGCCCATGAAAGGAGGATTCGGAGGAGGAGGATTCCCAGGGGGTTTCGGGGGCGGGTTTGGAGGAGGGTACGGAGGAGGAGGCTTTGGAGGGGGCGGGGGCTTCGGAGGGGGCGGGGGATTTGGAGGGGGCGGCGGATTTGGAGGACAAGGAGGCGGCGGTTTCGGGCCCGGGGTAAGTCTTTCTCGTGTGTCTGGTTGTTGTTGTTGTTGTTGTTGTTGTTGTTGTTGTTGTTGTTGTTGCTGCTGTTGTTGTTAATTATAATGATGTTGTTGTTTTGTTGTGTGTTTTTTTTATTGGTGGTGTTGACTTAATGTTTTTCTTGCTTTTGACGTTGATGAAGATGATGATGTTTTGTTGAGATTGTTGTTAATTTTGTCTTGTTGTTGTTGTTGTTGTTGTTATTGTTGCTGTTGTTGTTGCTTTTGATGATGCTATGCTGTTTTTGTTGCTGTTGTTGTTGTTGTTGTTGTTTTGATGTTATTGTACTTGATGCTGCGCTGTTTTTGCAGTTGTTTTTGTTGTTTTGATGTTGTTGTTGTTGTTGTGGGAGCCTATCCTTCCGAATTGCTTGGAGCCAGACGAGCTTGAAAAGATGAAAATTACAAGGGAAAAGTCAACTTGTCTGTGTTGGTGGACTGGTGTAATCGGTGCTGATCCACTTGTGTAATCGGTGCTGATCCACTTGTTTTTCTCAGTTTTAGTTCATGTCTCTGTCTTAAAATGTCAAAAAATTTGTTTTGACAAGTGAACACTTTTTTTTTCAAATATGGACTCCCAGCCTGTGGTTTTAACACAGACAGTGTATTCACTGAAGAGGACAATAGAATAACCTACTCCCAATACACTCTGTTGTCATTTATGTTTACATACCCCCGAGTGTTTTGAGAAGACTAAGAAAAAATAACTTAAATAATATTAAACCAAAACTAAAAAGTCGAAAAGAGGCGGTAGAAGAAAAATGTACGTTAAAATATTCCAGAGAAAAGTAGGTCAAACGGAAGTACGTCAAACTCCACCTCCCCATGTTGTTGTTGTTGTAGTTGTTGTTGTTGTTGTTGTTAAATATTTAATTGTTGATGATAATGATGAGGATGTTATTTTGTTACACAGGCAAAATCCGTGATTTTACACCATCATAAACGTTCTCTCCCCATTCCCTTTCTCTCTGTCTCGATCGATTTCTGTCTGTCTGTCTGTCTATCTGTCTGTCTGTCTGTCTCTGTCTCTATCTGTCTGTCTGTCTGTCTGTCTGTCTGTCTGTCTGTCTGTCTGTCTGTC